AATATGCATATGCACACATGTATCTCCCTTAAGTCTCCAGCTTAGAGCAGTGAGCTTTTCCTCTGGGATTGTATAATGCAGCACAAATGTAAATAAGATTTACATAATATAGTGCAAAAATGTAAAGTTAAATGGGAAACTCTGACATTATCAAGATAAATACATAAGAGCTTATTATCTGAGTCAGTAGTGCAACTCCACCACAAATCCAGGTTAGCTCTGCCTCATTTTTGCTCGTGATAATTTGGGGTTTTTGGAAACTTTCCAAAGCTGCAGTACTGAATGCAGTTGAGTGATAACTGGAGCCAAAAACAACTGAGGTTATGCACAGTGAAGTGATGCTGAAGAAAAACATTTGCTATAATGAATTAAAGCATTTTAGGACATAAAAAATTGCTTTACTCCAAAAAAAAAAAAAAACTTGAAAAAAAAAAACCAACAAAAAACGTTGGTTTAGGATATGGATGTTATTTTAACCAGAGCAAAGAAACATGATCTCATCAGCTCTGCTTTAGCCTCTTTAAACTGGCTCTCTGTATGTTTTAGGATAGATTTGAAGATTTTCCTGAAAACGTTCTCCTCTCTACTAATTATATTTCTGACTTTTAGGTTCCGTGTACATGAGAAAATCAAGTCGGCTGAGTCACTGACGTCTTTTAAGTTGCTTTTTAAAATGTACTTTTATTGGTGAGCCTTTCCTGATTTCATTTTCTGATTTTACTTTCTCCCAAATGTATTTTTACTTCTTCACATTGCTTTGTTGTGTGTTTTTATCTGTTTATTAAAACCCGATTATTTCCTGCCTGTAAGTTTTATTTTGCTGCCTTATAACTTAAGAGTTTTGAAAAAATTATTAGCATATATTATTATTTTTAGCTTTGAAATCATCGATCCCGACATCCCAACGTGCTTCCATGTCTACATTCTCTTCTTCTTTTGTTGATGTTCATCAGCTATGAGTTAATGGAGCCCAGCTGCCGTGTGTGTTCAATGGTTATCAAACGTGCCTGCAGGCAAAACTCAGCTTTAGCTTTTAATCCAATTTGACATTTAAGCATTTACAAAACTGGAAATGCGCTGATGAAGCAGTGAAAGGACTGATGTGTTTACTATCCAACCGTTAGGCCTAATGTCAAAGTGCAGTCTAATGTAACCAGAGTGGGAGTTTCCCCTCCAGGCTGCCTTGGTGTCGTTTTTCTGGACTGGATGTGAACAAAGTGCCTGTCACTCAGTCGTCTCCCAAATCCTCCTTTGTCCCATTGTGTGCCTTTTTTTGTTCTTCGCGATACTGTGGTTCAATAATCTGAGCTTTAGTTCTTCATTTCAACTTTCACTCATGTAAATTTGTCTCTCATCTCTTCATCCACATGGATTAGTCTCTTATCTCCCACCTCATCGTTCTCTGGCTCAGTTCTGAGCCTTTTTGGAAACTTTCTAAGAGAAAATAATTCATTTAAAACAAGACAGTTTAAAGACTGTTACACCACCTCCATGATTTTTATACTTAAATATGTGTCAATTAAAGGCTCCAAAATGGTGAAGAACATTTTATTACATAGATCAAACTCAAGCACCAATGTGAGTGTGCTTGGTTGTCTGTCTCTAAGTGTAGCCCTGTGATAGACTGGTGACCTGTCCAGGGTGTCTCCTGCCTTCACCCTGAGTCAGCTGGGATAGACTCCAGCCCCCTGCAACCCTAGTGAGGATTAAGCGGTGTATAGATAATGGATGGATGGATGAAACTAGGGACTGTTCAAAAACATTCTACAGTGTATCACCTCCTGTCCCACACTTTGCCTCCCATCCTCTCACTACTCTTTTCATCACATTTCCCTCATCTCTTTCCAGGAATCAGGCCTGGCCTAATTCCCCATTACTGAGATTGATGGACTAAAGGCTCTGAAGGTACAAACGCTGGCTGGCTGTAGATAACAGTGTAAGCAGCCAGCGCGTACGTGCAGGAGGATTGTAAACACCCTCTGACTATAAGCTTAATGTCCTTGCTGGAGTTTTCACTGACCTCTATCAATCTACCTTGATGTGCCTGCTAGAAGTTGCTACAGACGTGCATTGAGTTGCCTAATTCAATTGACTTTTTTTATCTATTGAAGTAGATATCAATCAAAATAGTCCTTGCATCTGTGGCTGCTAAAGCAACCTTAAAAAGAAATCAATGTTTTGCATTTGTGCAACACTAAAGTTTCTATACTGACTCTTAAACCTGCTTCAGTTTCCAGCTCATGTGGAGAGAAAATACCTGGAGTTAAAGTTGACAGGGTTAAAATATAATAAAGCTAACACGCTAAAAAAGGTACAAACCATAAGAGTATAATCCGGTTATTTAAGCAGCAGTTCAATCTCAGGCTGTATGTGTTTGTGTCAGAGCAACATGAAAGCTGTCTGTGTCCTTCAGCCTAAAAATAGAGCAGAGAAAGCCCTCTTTGTGGAACTGTCCTGTCTATTGAAAGAAACAAACACAAAGTGGCCGACTGTGTGCGTCTGTGCATGTTTTCCCAAAACTGCTGCAACACATGAGCTCTGACCGGTGGACCTGATGACTGACTCTGGGCTCCTATAAGAACTACACTGGTACGACAGGGATGAATGGCACCAAAACAACTGCTTCATGTTGCACATAAGGAATAAAAGCAATCGTTTATTCCTACTTGTTTCTTATCAGAGCCTAAAACCCAGCCTGTTCTTATATTAAAACTCCCTCCTTAGCCAGAACCTTTAGCATCTGGAGTGTTGTTCAATGAGGGGAAAGCTGAAAGTATTGTTAGAGGAGATCCCAGCTGCACACATTTGAACTGATGATCCTGACTTTACTGAAGGAATCTTTGCAATGCAATGCAAAAAAAAATCGAACTATTGTGACAGATGTTGTGACTGCAATGAGTCATGATTTCAGTGGGAAAGGTTATTTTTCCTTTTCACTGAAATAAATACAAAAATAATTATGTGATTTTTCCTGCTAGCTGTTTATCTCTGCAGCACCAGAATGCTACATTTTACCTTCATCAAAAAATGCTGCTCCTGTGACTTGATCCTGTGATTTTCATCAGTTTCAAATTAAATGTCCAGCTCTTCTTGTATGATCTACAGAACCAAATTAAGTCAAAAGTAACACAAAACCGGCATTTATGTGGCAACAACCCTGAAAACAACCTGATGGCAGACGCAGTTTCAGTTTGTGTGTTTTATCTTTTCGTGACATTATTTGAGTAAATTAAAGAGAAGTGTGACAAAAGTTCTGCAAGTGTCCCTAAACGTTTTACAAAAAAAAAATCCCAATTTGACATTACTTTACTATTGCAAACTGGAATGACTTAAATTTGTATATAGTCATCATTGAAAAAATGTCACACCTGCACTTTATATAAACCACCAGAAAAGATTCTTCTTTGTTCTTTTAACAGAATTTGATCCAGTCCATCAAATAACACCTGGATAGTCTGTAAGAGGTTTTATTTAGACATTTTGATCCATTCATGTGTTTGGGAAGCCAGCAGGAACTCAGCTGACCAGTGGAAGCTTCAGACACAAATACATCTTTTTAATCTTTCTGGACAGTAAAGTGATTTACACATTTTTGCCATTTTTTCTGACGGTTTATGGACCAAACTTCTGTGCAATCAATCGCACAATAAATCAACAATGAAAATCATTTGTCCTGAGCAGCTTGGGCCGGACTGAATGCATCTTTCACCCAGAATCTAGTTCTCTGTATCAAACACAATGGTTTCAATCTTTTAACCAGAGAAAAGTGTTTAAAGTTTCAAAGCTTCCTCTATGAACAGAATTTCTTGGCACTCTCAGCAGGCAGCAGCAGCAGCAGGCTGTTACCCAGAGCTAAGATCAGTCAGAGATTTCAGCTTGAAGATCAACAAGTCATTTCTTCTGTCATTCTACTTGCAAAATTCCAACACTCAACAACAGATGCTCCAGAAACAAGAGAGCTCCCCAGCAACAATCCTCCTAAACAAGGAATTCACAAACCTGTAATAACTGATACATCCTGCAATCGGATTCTAAAAAACCTTGTGACATTAAAGAACAGCAGTGCAGACAGGAACAGTGTACATGACATGGCTGCAGTATTAATCTCAGTGTGTTCGGTACTGACCGACTTGGGCATCTTTCGCCTCTCTCCGCCCGTCCCCTGTTGCTGATAAAACAGAAAGAATTCGTCCTCCGTCTTCCTGCCTCTCTCCGGGGCACCAGCGCCTGAAATAAACAGCAACATGTCAAACAAATGTCAACAAATAAACAACATCCATCATGCAGCGCTCTTATCTCTACTCGGCATTTTCATATGTACATTTAGATAAGATAAAGAAATGTCACAATTGAAAGAGACAAAGTCAAGAATGTTGTACCACATCTCCCTAAGCCAAGCCAAGCTCCTTTTTTGGCTGATTTGGTTGATTTCACAAAGATTTACTATCTGATGGAGCAGATACACTTCTGCTTTAACCCTATGAGCCCTACTTTTAGGCTCCTATCTTGGTCATTATAATGTGTAGCCATACATGCCATATCTCTTTTTTTCTTTCCAGATCAGTTGAGGCTTTTTAGATCTTTCATCGTTTGATACTATTTTTCATATTAGATTGTAAATAATGGAAAAAATGTCTTGCATTGTGAATTTAAAAAAATGTTTTTACATGTACGTCACCATAAGATGCTGGCAGCAGAGATCTAGTTTCAGAATTGTATAAGGGAGATTGCTTAGAATTGGGCAAAATCCGAATCATAATGGTGGAATGTGGCATTTTTAGTTCTTTTATTATTTTATCCAGTGTTGGTGTAATGACTTATTCTGTAAATATTTTGCCACATTCATTTAATTCTGTTCCTCTACTTCTGCCTTTAGCTAGACTGACCAGCCTTCTGTTGTTCAATAGTCTTCCAGAGTATCCTTCTTTTCTTTTTTGCCCTGTCTGTAAAGGGCTTTACAAACTGTTCTTGAAAGGGGCCATATGAAATTATTATTATTATTACTATTATTATTACACTGTGCCAGTAAGAAAGCAGACAAAAATATGTGCTTAGTGCCTGATGGAAGTAAATGTAATTATTTCATTTATTGAAGTTTCCCTATACAGTAAACTCCTTGCAGCAAAGGCACAACAATAACATGTGGAAATAAATGAGTGAAAATTTGTTTAATAAATTAAGTTTAATCTGTATTCATAATGTTATTACTTCAACATGTTCAAATAGCGTAATTGCAAAGCTCCAGTTCTCTTCATTCTTGTGATAGGACATATAGATAAGCTAATATCTATGCAGTGGTTGCTTTGCATGATTAAAAAGCAATCGCTGCATATTTAGATATTACCATACGTATTAGTTCACAAGTTCACTGGTCATAGAGTTGCAACAATTTGTCAATTAGCTGTCAAATATTGCATTCATTGCCAACTGTTTTGACAACCAATTAATCAGAGCATTTTTTTAAAGAAAAAAAAAGTCAAAATTCTTGGCATATTAATTCATTCTGAATAATTTTTCGTTTCTCTTGTCCTTAATTGATTATTCAAAACAATAATCAACAGAACAGTAAAAAATAATTATCAGTGTCAGGCCTGATGAATAATTCAAACAAGAGTCATCAGTGTGGAGACAGACGTACAGTTGTATGCGGGTTGTAATTATGATTAAATCTGATGAAAAATTCAATATTATTTTCTCTTGCAGACGCTCTGTCGCACAAACAAACAGCTGGAAATACTGGAAAAGTCGTGCAGTTTTACACCTCGCAGCAATGAATACTTTTGGAGAAATTACACCAGGAAGGAGTCGTGCTATACGTATGTTTGTAAACTAGTGTGGAACATGTTTTCTGTGCTTCATGTCTATTTTTACGTACGACAGTCAGTGTGTGTTGGGCTGTAATTGCTGCAGAGCTGCAACTGACCTACTCTCAAAACTGAGCTCATCCAGTATAGACAGACAACTGAAGCTGCTGCTTCTGCTGCTCATGTTCATGTAAGTGTTAACTCTTTACCCATTTGTCTTCGACTCAACCACGTCTACACTGAAAATGATGCAGACGAGACAGATGCATCAGTTGCTGCTGTTTGATAAGGACAAAATGTTCCCCAACATGAACAAAAAGTCTGGTAAGCAAGTATAAAAACGCCAATTCAGTTTGATTATCCGGATAAATCACATAATCATTTAATCTCTCCCATCAATATTATGCTGTGCTACAGAACAAAAGCAGAAACGTGACCTAAACTTGAACCAGGAGAATCTTGCTCTGCTCCCACAGGTGACATTAAGAGTCAAACAGACACCATTAATGTTATCATGCAGCTGCTGCCACTGAGCTTCTGTAGTTTGGCCACAGCAGAAGATTCTCCAGAATCCAGCACCATAAAACAAAGCATTAACATTAGATGAGAAAGCAGAAAGCGGTTCGCTACACGCAGAAGCTGAGGGGAAAAAACCCTCCAAAACCAGAGACACAGAAATCACAGAGAGAGAAATAGAAACAGAAATGTAGGACGACAAAAGTAGCTTCCACTTCTCTCCTCTGCTCTAATTTGTCCTTTTTTTTTTTTTGAGAATCCATTTATCTGATCCTTAACTAGCCTATTTATTATGGATATTTGGAGAGTGTGGTTTTCTTACGGATGCCTTGCTACATTACATGACTAGAACATAAAATGAAGAGTTGGTAAGAGTCCCACAGGTGCCAGAACATGTCTTAAGTGTCTGCACAGAGAGTTAAGCCAGGCTCAACTACAAGCCTGGGCTCAGTCTGAGGTCAGAAACTAAAGCAACACTGGAAGATTTTACATCAAAATAGTTCAGAGTTGTTCAAAAGGTTTGTTCTGTACAATGTGACCGTAATACATCAGCCAAGAACGGCTGATCAAAGAGAATGAATGAATAAATGATTATGTGCTGTTCTCTGTCGCTGAGATGATAGTATATTCATGTGTTTAGAAATGCATGCTGTTTTTGGTCATGGTAGATGTTTTCAGCCCATGTCATGCCTCTATTCACTGCATCACAATGACATACTTTCAGCTATAACAGTTTGGTTTAACTGAATCCACCACAAACATATGTTACCAATATAAAGCGGTTCAATGGATTACACAGCACTGATTTTTAGATCCAACCCTTGTTTTTAATGACCAAGACGTCACCATGAAGTCACAGATAGTTTGCTTGAACGTTTTGGAAATCAAAATATAATACACATTTTTTCTCATAAATGCTTCGAAATAGGGATAGATGGATTATCAAGCTGACCGATTATTGGGGGCAATATTTGACATTTTTCGGATTATCGTATCGGTATTTATTAACTGACTATCGCTAAGTAAATGCACTACTATGTGTCTGATGCCTCTCTCTGTCTGTAATCTTTCTGTGGTCTCAGAAACATCTGCAAAAACTGAACAAGACAACCCAAGCTGTTGCCACATATCAGGAAATTAGTTCCTCTCACAGTGGCTAAGGCTATGCTAACGGCTAGCGGCGAAGTTAGAAGGCAGCCACTGATTACAGAGGCCAGAAAACAGCAATTAATAATGCTTTAAGATCCAGACCTTAGTGGCCAATATTAGTGATAGAAAAGAGAAAGATGAATAAAACAGAGATGAACATCAGATGGAACTGCAGGACAGAAACTGATCAATCTCAAATCAATCGATCGATCAGTGAACAGCGGTGAATGTCATAGTATCCTGTGATGTTGCGACGTCATCTTTTCTTTTAGTAAGAGCTGCCTTGATAATGAAGAAGCCTACTTATGAATGACAGTTCCCTGTTAAAGAATAACAGTTAATGTTTATCTGTTCAAAATGTCAGTTATTGGGTCTTTCTTGGTGACCAGTAATCGGCACCAGTCCTGAGAAAACCGACATCAGTCGACCGCTACTCTGAATCATGACTGTACAACTCTTGGCTGGTGCATTATGGCCATGCACTGCGGGGAAAATTCTTATACCTCCATGAAATTTAGATTCTAAACTACCAACTGTTAACTTCAGCTGTGTACCTCACAGTACTTCAATGTAGGTCCCAGATCTCTTAATACCTCTAAATGTTCCCACTTCTGTCAGACTCCAGGCTTTGAAAAGGGATTTCTACATATTTGAAATGCATCAAATATCCTTGAGGCAAACTGCAAATTTTATAATCACATCACAGAGCATATGCTACGGAAATATTCAGCTCTAATTCTCCCTTTCACATTAGTCCTGCAGAAAATCGCTTTGATGTGTCACATAACTGTGAAGCATGTCCCGCAGAATCAATGCTCCGCTCAGTCATCATATCAGTGTCCTTCTGGGGCCAAATCCGGAAAGTATACCAGGCCCTGGATACGTTTTTGTTCTGGCAGTGCAAACGGGTTCTTTCTTAAGGAGTAAAAGCATCTCAACTAAGCCTGGATTGTCATTTCAATGACCTCTACAACATAATTTAGACTCGAAAGAGTAAAAAGTAAAAAACAGAAGCACTGTGGCAGCAGCTATATCAGAAACATCCAAATCTGTAAACGACAAATCATCTTAAATCCTGCAGTTATGACAGCACAAGTTGAAACTTTGCAGTCATTTCTGTTCAGTAAGATTATTGCACTTCAAAAAGAAAAGGATTACAACTGAATTAGGATCTCTTATTAATAGGTCTATGGATTGAATCAGTATCATTTTTAATCCATGCAAAAAAAGAACTGTTAAAAGTCCAACCATGTACCAGTCTGACTGCTGCTTGGACTGATAAAAAAAGCACCACACATGTCCAAAATGTGTAATTTAATCCATCCACAAATACAAATCAGGACACTGAAGCCTTATCAGTCCCTTGGCTAAACTGTTTAATTTAAAGTGGATTTAATAAAACTGCACAATATGCAGCCTGTAGTGAGTTTATCAGTCGACTCAGACTGTGCAGTCTTCCTCCACCTCTGCGTCTCACTCTGCTTGCTCTACGTCTTTCTAGTTCACCTTATCAATGGCAGTAAGGAGGTGAGGAGTTGAATAGTGCACTGACGGAAGAAAAAAGGGAGGCACATAAGAATTCAAAGCCTGACTTGACCCATATACCTGCAGCGGGGAGATAGGTGAAGACACTGAATGCTGAAGTAAAGAACAGAGTTTTTCACTGCTCTCATTTAAAAAGTGCAGCGCAGACAGTTTGAGATAATGATTCTTTTACTCATCCTGACTGTTATTTGGTAAAATAATGAAACATAAACA